ATATATGCCTCTCCTCTGAAGCCTTCCTTTCTTCATACCACCCCACAGTTGATGATTAAAATTAATAACTTTTCACCAGGCTATATAAAGTACCTTGAGACCAGGATCTATTTTGTATTCAACTTTGTCTCTCAATGCCTAAAGTAAAACCTAGCACATCACAAGGGCACAGTGAAAACAATGGCAACACAGTTAACCACTGTGGCACTGTAGGATAAGCACTGGACTGCTAACCACAAGGTCGGTGGTTCAAATCCACCAGCTACTCCTCAGAAACCCTATCCAAGGTCACTATGAGTTAGAACAAACTTGACAACACTTAACAAAAATATATTTACTATACACTTTTTGCTATTGTTAAGTGCTGTCAAATCCATTCCAACTCATAGCGACTCTGTATTGAGTTTCTGAGGAGCAGCTGGTGAGTTTGAACTACCATCCTTGCAATTCAAACATCTTGAGGTCCAGTGCTTATCCTACAGTGTCACACCAGGACTCCTACTATGGACTAGTAAATCATTTATTTATCTAGGTGTTTTCTTTTAGCAGTAAATAAACCAGGTACCATCAAGTAGATTTCAGCTTGTGGAACCCCATGTGTGACAGAATTCTTAATGGTTGATTTTTCAGAAGTAGAACCTCAGGCTTTTCTGCCAAGGTACTCTGGGTGGGCTTGAACTGTCAACCTTTTTGAAGCTTTCAGTATACAGCTAGTGTTTATCCATTTGTGCCACCCAGAGACTAACTGATCATAAAACAAATAAACAAACAAAAAATTCTGCCACTGCCATCAAATCGATTCCAAATAATTGCGACCCTATATAGGGTTTCTGAGACTGTAATTTTACGCTAGAAGACAGCCTTCCTCTTTCTCCTGTAGGCAGCTGGTGGATTTGAACCACCAACCTTGCAGTTAGCAGTCCAACACCTAACCTACAGAGCCACAGGGCACTATGATGTTGTTGTTAAGTGCTGTCAAGTTGGTTCTGACTCATAATGATCTTGCATAGCGTTTCAAAGGAATGGCTGGTAGTTTTGAATTGTCAACCTTGTGGTTAGCAATCCAGTGCTTATCCTACAGCACCACACCAGGACTTCCCAACTATCACAGTCACTAAAGAAAACATAAAGTGGCATTGTTATTGTTGTTGTTAAGTGCCCTGGAGTAGGTTCCGTCCCATAGCATTAGGTATGCAACAATCAGGAACAGAGTTTCTCCCTTTAATCAAAGGTTTAGAAACAGATCCTAAAACTAAAATGGAAGGTAAAGATAACTCCAAGAACTGCAAAGGACAGCTACAAACCACAAACTAAAGATGTGAGCAGGCAGCTTAGAAGTGACTGATACACTTTCATTCATCTTTCAGCTACAATCAAAAAGTAGCAAATATTATGGTCTTCTTGTGCCAGATAGAGAAAAGACTGCAGATCAGCATGAGGTATCAACTTGTCAGTTCTTACAGCCCCAAAACTGAAAGGGTATCTTGATGCTCTCCTATTTTAAATTCTTTAGTGGCTCACTACTACCTGGGGGATAATCCAATTCCAAAACAAAATTAAACCCATCAACTGCCTGTCTACTCTCCCTTACTCTCCGTAAGACACTACATACAGTGCCACACCATGACTCCTCAAGAAAACATTGTTGTTGTTAGTGCCACTGAGTCGGTTCCAACTCATAGAGACCCTGTATAGTGTTTCCAAGGAACTGCTGGTGGGTTTAAACTGCCAACCTCCTAGTTCAC